AGAGAAACAGAGGGAGCAAAAGGAAGAGGACACTGAGAGAGAGGGAGGGAGGGGGAGAGGAGTGTGAGGGAGAGAGAGAGAGAGACCCTACCTGCCTGTCCACTTCAGGGAGGAGGAGGAGAAGCTGCTGCTGGAAGTGCAGGGGGAGAGCGTTGAAGGTCCTGGAATTGATCAGTGCCCGCAGGTTTGTGTTCACCAGAATGGAGCCCGGCGTCTCAAAGTCTATGTCGTCCCCCCTGTTCCTCTTCATTTGTCCTGCAGTTCCCGGAAAGCAACAGACAACCAGAAATGTTTACACAGCCGAGATTCAAGAGCGGCAGACAACTATTCATCTCCTGGCCAGACGGCGGTGAGAGGGGCACTTCTGGCCGGCGCTCCCGGCACTCCTAATAAAGGAATCTTTTGAGTTTGCGTCAAGAGGGTTTGTCGTGCTGGGTCAGAATGGGCCTCTTAAAGTCGGCCAGGTCCAAAACGGCTAAAGTTCCTCCTGTGGAGAGGAGACCCCCCGGAGTCCACCTACCGCCTGAGGGTTTGCGGACTCCCCGGAGCAGATGGGGGGCTTCCCTCGCCATGTCTGTCCTGTTGCAGAGCGCGCCGGGCAACGCGGAAGACCTGCTGCTGCTGCCGCCGCTGCTCTCGTCCCCAACCGGTTTCCCCGCAAACCCTGAAAAAAGAGCGAGCGCATCAGCTGCAGCCTCCGACTGTCCCCACGGCCACCCGGGCCTCATCCGAGTGGAGCATCCCGATAACGCAGTCACGGCAGGAGAAGGCAAACTTCAGCAGGTGGTTTGGGGGCCCCCCCCTCGACTCTGCCCACGTTATCTGTTACGGAAGGGAGGGCAGGGAATGAATGGGGGTGGCAACACGGGGTAGACCCCTCAACTTACAACCATGATCGAGCCTGGAATGAATGGCCATTGTGTCGATTGTTAGGTAGGGGACGATGTGCTGCATTATAAAAGGCACTGGATTAAAAGGAGTAGCCAAAATGGATGAATGGCAGATGTGATATAATGGATGGGTAGAAAGAGATGGATGGATGGCAGATATGATATAATGGGTGGATGAATAGAAAAATATAGATGATAGATAGATAGATAGATAGATAGATAGATAGATAGATAGATAGATAGATAGATAGACAGACAGACAGACAGATAGATAGGATATATTTAGATAGAGATAGATAGATAGATAGATAGATAGATAGACAGACAGACAGACAGAGACAGAAAGACAGACGCTAGAGATGGATGGATAGACAGAAAGAGATAGACAGACAGATAGATAGGTGTGTGGATGATATGATATAATGGATGGATGAATAGAAAAATATAGATGATAGACAGATAGACAGACAGATGCTAGAGATGGATGGATGGATGGATGGATATGATATATGATGCATGGACAGAAAGATGATAGATAGATAGATAGATAGATAGATAGATAGATAGATAGATAGA